GAGTAGCCTACTACTTACCTGAGAAATGATTAGTTCTCAATACAAACTTTTAACCCCTTTCACCCACTTTAAGATTAATTTTTATGACAAAAAGTGCCCTATGTCCTTCCCTTAGGTCCTATATCTATCTCTATATCAGTACCCTTCATTCGACTAAATAAGTTATTCTACATTTCAGTTGATTACCATATGTGAGATGGAGGACAAATGCGCATTTATATTTTATATAAAAAAAATGACGTAAATTATGTATTAGATATAGTTACGTGGAAAATTTTAGGCAAGCCGATGGGAATGGAGTTATATGGACGCCTTGCCACTGTTCTATATCAAAATTCATCAAATTTGGTTCAGCGGTTTAAGGCTGTTACACATAAACACGATACGACGTGTTAATGTGTAAGAGCCCTTAGGTGTGAAGACATCCCAGACCGAGCTACTTTCGCATTTATAATGTAAGTTTGGATTATTATAATATTGTTGATCCCATAGGTTGATCTCTACTGGTTAGGCTGGTTGGTACCAGTACACAGAAAGGCTAACAAATTCAACGGTGTGACAGTAATTATTTTTATTTAATTATTATATTTGTGAATAATAATTTGTAGTTGCTATATTTTTTTCCCAAGACTGGTACCGTAGTATACAGTTATCATAATCATTAATACTAAAAATCTATCTAATTTGTACCTGCTTGGCACTGGTTTCTTTTAAGGAGAAGTTTTAGGCCAAAGCCCGTCAGCTAGTCCAGTACGGATTGAAAACTTGACTCTTCTTCTATGAGAAATGTGCTCTTTTTCCAATACGCAAGTTTCGCTATGATGTTTAATAAGTGAACCAAACTAAACTGTGCGCAGTTCGAAAAGTCTCTGCCTACCCTTCGGTAGGAGTCGAACACTGTACCTCGTACATAAGGAACCAACTCAACTAAGCCATTATGGCTCATTTCTGCATAAACCTGTGTAATAAATAGAATTACTGAATTCCGGTTTTAATGGTGACATGGGATTAGTCAATTTATGTCTCAGGGTGACAGGGATAGTGGGCAGTGCCCCTCAGATCTTTGTAATTTAAAGCTCTGATTGGCACTGCAACCGTTACAGGCGTGTAGCATAGCTGCGCATGACTATCTCACATGTATATGTGAAATTTTGTAACTATTTAACTGCCCCCGTGGCCGAACGGTTACCATGCCGGATTGCCACGCATAAGCCCCAGGTTCGATTCCCAGGCCGTGAGAAATATTTTGTATGGCCTACATTTATTTCTTTCGTAAGTTTGTTTGGGTGTCATTTGTGGTTGAGTATGTGTGTGTCCATGGCACCCGCGACACAGGGTTTCCTTAGTGCGGGACTATGTTGAGTGTGTGCGTTATTGTTATTATTTATTGTTATTAATTTCGTTCCTGAAATCTTCAAACCTCAATCCTGAAAATGTGTCAATAAGCAGATATGGCTGTAATAATGCCCGCATCAAATGGGCAATGTAATAAAAACTGCATGTATAATCACTTTTCCCTGCTAATATTAATAATGACCACACTGTTTTGATCAAAGTAGGGATACTAATGATCTGCAGCGTTTTGGTTAAGTTAGGTTAGGTTATTGCCCGCGAGTAGGGTATTACTCATACCGACAGGTCCAAGGAAAATACAAAAATTAGGCCATCTTTATCAAATGGACCATGGACATTATTTTTTTACTCTTGCCGATCAGTCAAAGTCAAAGTGAAATAATCATTTATTTCATAAGTAAATTTTTTACACTTGAAAACGTCATTTTTTAAGCTACAGCTTGTTCCCTAAGCTGACCTCACTGAGAAGAACGAGCAAGAAACTCCAGGGATGTCTCTTTTCAAATAAACTTAAATGCTGTGGAACACACTTTCAATCATAATACCATGGAATGACATCTAGACCCATGTTGTTTTTCCATACATCTTTATGTAACACATACTCTACAGTTTGTAACATGAATTTTCAATTAAAATACTTTTAATGTTTGTTTTAAACTTAGTAAAAGATAATTTTAATACATAGTCTTGGTCACTAACCAGTCCTTATTCATAATGCCCGATTAATCAAATTCCTTGTAGCATATAGTTCTTCCTCGCTCCGCTTTAATAGATAATGAAATATAGCTACATGTTCCAATGAAGCTACATTGTTAGCTTTGTTTCTACATTATGTCGTTTTATGGATTTATAGAACCCCACACCACATAAGTACCTATATAATAGAATATTTGTGACTGCATTTAAAAACTATTAAATAAGGAGAAATAGGAGGTGAAGCAAAGGGGGCGAGAACATATTTGTTTCGATGTTATTAACGAGACAAGGTTACCCAGGACAATAGTAACACTCTTATAACACCTGTGCCAACATGGCCTGAACACATGGTTAGTCAAGAAATTTCGAATTTCAAATTAAATAAGTTATCTGCTTAGTTATATGATATCTTAGAGTTTTATATTATGCTTCTTTGGCGAACTATTTAACCGTTTATTTTTAACCGACTTCAAAAAAAGAAGGAGATTCTCTATTCGACTGTATTTTTTTTTGTATGTATGTTACGCGATACTCCGGCCTTGTGAGCCGATTTTGAGTATTCTTTTATGTTGAAAATAGGGTACTTCAATAGGACCACTATTTGAAGGAAATATTCCACTCCTAAGGGTAGCAAACTAGGGGATGTATCTGATTTCGCGCATTTTCCTGTAACCGATTTCAATAAAACTTGGCAAATAGAAATTCCACGCACTTTTGAAGTCGGGTATTTTGGTACTCTGTACTGAGGTTATTGTTTTATTTATAGGTATAGTGAAAGCGTTCGTGACCTGAAAGACGGTCTCTGGTCTTAAATGGTACTGAAATAGTTTTATTTATTTCCACAATCGTATGTGCCGATTGAAAAACTTACACTATTTTGCCATACAAATGTTTATACAGTATGTTGTACCATTACAGGCGTATTCAATTACGTAACATAACATCAAAAACTTTAATTTAAAAAGAAAATAGAAAAATAAAAATAATGTACAGAGAATAAAAAAGAAAACGAAAAGTACTATCTAGGAGATTATCAAACGAAACCGCTAAGACTCTAACCCTTAAATCAGTTCCGTAGAGACACGAATATAGTTATCGTAGCGTATCGTAGCGAGCGAAGCTATCTTAGCATACGCTCAAATAGGAATAAGTATTCAACAAGTAATACTGCCACTGCAAGGTACAATTTTCAGTTCGTATATTTCTTGCAGTGGCACCCTGTGCTTCATCATGTTAGTACAGCTCTCGCAGTGCCATCTCGGAAAGAATACATTGATAAAATCAACAGAATTACCAATTTGGTACGTAACAAACCAGGATTTCGTGCAGCGCGAGAATCTAATTGGTGGTCAATTATCAAGGTTTTTTTATAATATCAAGTGACGTGGCGATCAAGTCGTGCACCAGATGGTAAGCTATGTAGCTTAGCAGCAGGCGTGTGCCTAACCATAACAGTTACAGTGCCACTGCACCAGTCACACCGAGACACAAGCTGATAAGTCTCATGCGCCTGTCATTTCACCAGCACACCCTTCAAAACCGGAACACAGATATGCCTACATTACTGCTTGGTGGCAGAAATAGGTAAGGAAAATCCCTGGATAAACTCTTTCATAAGTTCTACTGCTACTAAAAAACGGTTTGGTGGCGCTGCTGTACTGAAAAAAAAAGTTACTGATAATTGTCTTCAAAAAGCAAAAAGCTTGTGGCTTACATGGCAACACTGAGCTGTGAACCGAATATCACCACACAGTTTTTCAACTTGCGCAGTCTCCATGCTGTTGCCAGCTATATCTCGGAGGAAATATATGAGTAAAAATTTAAAAGCATTTTCATTCTCTTTGGCATAAAAAAAACAAGTAAGTATTCCTCTTACACACAAGTCAGTTTACAACTTTTTATTACTTGAGACTCGTTTGGATCGTACAGTCAAACGGCACACAGTTTTAAAAGACTATGTTTAAGCTAACGAAATTGTACTCTTTTTAAATTCTAAAACAAATAATAAATCATTAAAACATACAAGATCGTAATCGTAGGTAGGGGCATCGGAAGCAATTGAGGGGCGTTTGAAAAAAAATCTGAATTATCTATATAAACTACACTACAATTGTATATAATTTCATTTCCTTGTGATCTTTTGTGTTAAATTAATAAACAAAATAGTATGTGTTTTCAATTATTTTTTATAGTGGTGGGCGTTGCACTTTTTTTATCTTGTCCGGTGAACCAAAAAGTTTGGGAACCTATGTGTAACAATAATAATTCAAGGGTATTGTCTCCACTTCAACATTTCAGTAATTGATATCAATGTCCAACTGTTCTGCACAAGTTTTATGGAATTGGAGAATGTATTAAAAGCTGGCTATAGTTCATCTGCTGGCTAAATGGTTCCAAACTTCACATGTGCTTTTGTATAGTTATTTACAAAGTTATTACATTCAATTCTGTATTCAAAACAAAAGCATTATAGGTATTTCAGCATGTACAAAATTGAAATAAAAGTGCGTAGACATGCTATTGCATTTACAATATTTTTTCGGTTACCCGTTTTGAAACCATTTTAATTTATTTACATGCAATTAATGTTAAATTTTTTCGGTTGCTGAAACTTATAATAATAACCCTTCTAGGTGCCTAAAAAGAGCTTATAGCGCTAAAGTGTATCGAATCAGACCATAACATAAGCGAATGACGCTTAAGTATGTATATGAAAATATATTTCATTCAATATATTTTGTACCAATTCTTCGGCTGATTTCAAGTTGTTGAACTGCTAGCATGGTCTCTATGAAGTCAATGCCATTGGCTTAAACTTCACACATAGTCAACCTATGATAATAAAAGAATATCCATCATACTTGTACACTTAGTATGTATTAATAAAGGCTGCGTAGAGTATCACTTGAAAGGTATGTACCAAATATAAGAAAAACAAATGACAATCTCACCCAAATCCAAGCGCGGTACACAGCAGCCACAATCATTAAATTCATTAACGTGTTGTTAAATTAATAATAAATTACAGATAATGATTAATGAACGATAGACCTGTATCGGAAAGTGATCGGGGCTGAACTGAGCTGGGTTGCTGCGGTTCGGCAATGTAGGTCTTGTGAACGATATCATACAGCCTTCGAGGTACAGGGCTGTACTTTACTCTTTAAAATAATATTTAATACCTTCAATTAGTAGTTACAGGTTTCTTGGCACAGAATGAGATTTTATTTTTCTCCCGATATTTCAGAGTGGTTTCACGCTTCATGATCATGGGTTGATCATAGGGTCAAGTCGTAACCATAGAACGTGAAACCGTTTTGATATATCCTTGGTAGATACAGCCGTAGAGTGGTATGAAATCTGTATGTACCTACTAACAATCATAACAAAAACAATAATAATATTTTTTATCAGTAGCTTGTGAAAAAGTTCGTCCAGGGAATTACTACCACCTTACCTATTTTTTCCGCCAAAAAAAAATGTATGTAAAAACAATGTAATAAAATAATGTGAGCATTACTGCGTTCCGGTTTTGAAGAGTAAGGTGCTGGTGAAATTAAAGGCATTGTCAACTTATGTTTCAGGATGACGGGCGCAGTGGCAGTGCCTCTCAGATCTTTGTGATTTAAAGTTCTGAGTGGCACTGCAACTGTTATGGACAGGCGTATCGCTCACCATCAGGTGCACGACTTGTTCGTCCCGTCGCTTGGTATCATATTTGTTTTATGTAAAGTATTTGATGGGACGTAGTCATCAGTTACCCTTCATGGACATCTGCAACATCAGCTGCCTATGCGTCGCCAGCCTTTGAGAGCCCTGTTGACTCTCTTTTTGAAGAACCCCATAATGCAAAGTCATAATGCAAAGGAAATACTCCAGGAGGGAGACTATACCACATCTTTATTATGTATATTATTATTGTCAATGTTTAACTTTACGCATAGTCGATCTATTTTTACTTTCAAATAACTTAATGCCTCTCGTGGGTCCTGACGAAAACCAGCACCTTAGGAAACTTTGGCGTATGCTGTGTCAGCGCCGTTTCACTACTATGACAATCATGTTTTGTTTTTTTCTTTTATGCTTAATCTGTATTTGTGTTATATCAGTGAATAAAGTGTTTATCTATCTATCTATCTATCTTGCAGGTTCGAGGAAGGAAAGTTAAGGCGTCAAGGATGTGGGGATGGGATCTACTCCTTTGGAGGGGGGATGCGATCTACTCCTTTGGAGGGGGGATGCGACGATGGAAACGTCACGGTGGCACCAGTTCATAAAGTACCAGTTATTCACTAAGTAGCAGCTTGATCCAGTTGACTCCATCCAGTGTTTTGGCTGTTCGTGTTATCGATGATCCCAAACTCAAAGGGCTCCAAACCAAGACTATACCCTGAAAATCTTAACGTCTATCAAGTAATTGTTAAGTTTTTATTGAAAATCACGATCTTTCGCCATGATAAACAATTATTTTTGTGAAATTACTCCACTAGTTTTTTATGATTATTGTTTGATTGATGATTGATGATTATTATTATTTATTTATAGGTACAAATATCGAACACTAAGTTAAAATTCCTTCGATTCGGCTGAATTCGAACCAGCGTCTTCCAGCAAACTATGCTAGACACTATGCCAACTTAGCCACGGAACGAACCAACGTACCCTATTAGAGTTTTCGTTAACCGGATACTGTGTAAGAACTGTAGAAGTACATCATTGAAAAATATTATCATAAATTAATTTTATTTATTTGGGAAATATACAGTATTATATAATACATTTCATTTTTAACATATATGAAACGAACACTAGCCAACAGCTAAACAGTTTCCACTATTGTTTAAATTAAGTTACGTTGGATAGACAAATTTGCACATAGCTATAACCAGGTAACAACTAACATAATAATTACCACTAAGCAACAAATTGTAAATCACTTTTAATTATAATTTAAATTTATTGAATATCATGATGTTCAACCACCACGATATTTAACTATGTTATGGGAAATCACTCCTCTAGTTTGTTATAAGCATAAATACAAATATCGAACACTAAGAAAAATTCCTACGATCGATTAATAACTATGTTAATAAAATAAAAGCTTCCGAATGGCATATTTGAACCGGAATGGCTTATTGTCAAATATATTAATTTCTTCATATACATATGTACATTATTATATTGTATACAAGCCCGTACAAGGAACCTATTTTTAGGTAGGTTCCTTGGTATAATAAAGTCACTTATCATACGTCAAATGTGCTTTACTAACCGACTTCAAAAAAGGAGGAGATGCTCTATTCGACTGTATGTTTTTTTTGTATGTATGTTACGCGATAACTTCGGTGTTTGTGAACCGATTTTCATGATTCTTTTTTTGTTGGAAAGGGGGTACCTCCATAAGAGTCCCATTTAATTTTGAACAAAATCATCCACCTCTTAGGGTGGCTGTTCACGCATGAAGATTCATTTTTATAAATACCGCCAAATTTTGTTATAAGGAGCAATTATTTTAATGGTTGATTTTGTTATTATCCAATTCAAGGCGTTTTTCTCTCAATATACTTTGAGTAGTGAGAACCGATTTTTATTATCTCCTGTGGCAAGTCCCGTATAGTGGCGAACTAGAGGTGAATCCGGGTTTGCGCACTTTCCGGTAACCGATTTCAATAAAAGTTGGAATTAGGTATATGTAATTCCACGTACTTTTGAGGTCGTTTTTTTTTTTAGTACTCTATACTGAGATTATCACATGAACAAATTATGTATAATGTGAAATTTTTTAATTTTTATTTATTTAAGCATAAAAAAGTTATCGGATCTGTCCTGAAAAGTTGTCATTTTGCAGGTGTGGCCTTATTACAACATGGGTGCGAAATATTAGGTTCAATCTAATCTCGGCCATTGTCACATTCGGTGTTCTCAGCCTAATTACCGCAGCCATTTCGATGTTCTCTGCCTAATTGCTGTGGGCATTGTTTTTTGTAGCCAACTAAACTATATTTTTGTTTTTATGTTTTCTTAAAAATGTTTGAACTTTCTAATTGCCGTATCCATACGCTAATTACTACGATACGGCTACGGTAATTAATATAATTACCGTTTCCATAACATGTTTTGTGTCTTAATAACTCGAAAATTTAGACATATTGATAGTTCAGCTTAAAGTTTTCGTATTTCAATGTTCTTGGGTATAATAAGCGAGAAAAAACATTGGCTACGGTAATTAGGCCGAGGGCACCGAAATGGCTGCGGTAATTAGGTTGAGAACACCGAATGTGAGTAAGGCCGATCTAATCTTTAGGAAATGAAACTTTTTTCGGATCGAAAACAACGTATATTTGTTTTTTTAAATAAATACATAACGCACACACTCAACATAGCCCCGCACTAGGGAAAACCCTGTGTCGCGGGTGCCATGGACACACACATAAACAACCAGAAATTACATCCAAACTCACGAGCGATATAAATGTGGGCCATGCAAATATTTCTCCCGGCCCGGCAATCCAACCCGGGGCCTTTGCGTGGCAGACCAGTATGGTGACCGTTCGGCCACGCAGGCAGTTTGGCAGAAACAAACCAAACGTTTCGGGCTTTTAAAGGTAACATGGTTAACATTGACGGAGACGGTATTAGTCATCAAACAGTTGTCTAATATGCAATTCACCTTATTCTGAAGTATAGTTACAAAAAACAATTAACTAACTACCTAATTTTTAAATTTCTTGTATTTTCTTGGTTGTTATAAATCGAAGAGATAGATATCGCTACGGCTAGAAAATCGTTAATAAACCAAATACAAAGAAAGATACGACGCAAGCACATAAAAAAATTCGTGAGCTTAGTTGGTGTAGCGTCTGGTACAGTATGCCAGAAGACGTCGATTCGAATCCGGCCGTATCGAAGGAATTTTTTCTGAGTGTTAGATCTTTGTATTAATAATTATAACAAACTAATGGAGTAATTTCACATAAAAATAATTGAATATCAATTCAATTAAAAATTTAAATTTCTTGGTTGGTTAAAGTTTTCATAATGTTACTGCATAGATGACGCGCCTGAGCTGATTATAAATAATTGGAAGGATAAATGAATAAAAGGAGTTTACAACTACAATTTTATTCCAAGTTTAAATCTTTTCTCAGAAACTCCTTTGCAGGTTTTCGAGAATTCTATACCTACAAATTAAATAGATATGAAACATACACATCAAAAGTATCTAAGGATCAAACACGTTTTTGTCAATTACTGAAAATCAAGTTTTATTTTTTTTCAACACCAATAATATGTTTTTTGGTCAATTTCATAATTAAGAAGAGACGTAAGTGGGTAAATAAATAATTTAATAAATTTATACAGTTATTTTTATTTTACTTTAACAGGGTCATCAAATTTTTTTTAAATACCTTAATCCACAGTGTCTAAATCTCTGTTGTGTTAAATAAAACATAAATAACAGAAGTTGTGAAGTGTTTCGTTCTTGAAAGTCACGTTCTGACCTATGATATTAGAGTGGGGCATTTAAACTCTTTTTAACCGATTTGAAAAGAGGAGGAGGTTCGATGATTCTTTCTAACAAATATTTGAAGCCCTTTACAGGTCCCTCCTTTGTTATGTTTATCAATCTGATGCACGACACAACTGTGTTCACAAATTAATGTTGAAGTAGTGATGAAATATGTTGATATACTGTCACTTGTTCTGATTCTAGAGCTATACTATAAACTATGCAACGTTTGTTGAAAACAAAAGACCAATATGATGATTGAAAGACATACCCCTTGTGTTTCTTGCCTATTCTTCTCATGGGAATCTGCCTTACGAATGAGCAGTAGAGTTTCATCAATATGATGATTTCAAATGTAATTTGCATACCTATGTAATAAAGATTGTTTGACCTTGACTTTTACTTTGATAAATTAATAACTTAAGATTAAAAAATTAAAGTCAAAGATTAAACTAGAAAATGAACCCCAAATACAGCCCTGCGTTCATGTGGTTTCGTGTGTGTTCAAGTGTCTCCCGTATTTATTCTAATTCCTGCGTAAGTGTAACACGTACAATATCAT